TATATTGGTTTGAAATGTCACTTATGTGGTACCATTGGATTCAGAAAATTATTCAAATTTCAAAAATGTAATAATATACAGGGTGTTCCATTTAAAAATCTAAAGTTAGTGTCACTTCCGGCGAAACCGGAATTGAAAAAAAAATTAATTCTATGTCAAAAAGTGTCTCTTATCATGTGTATAGGATGTCCCAAATTTAAATCAATTATCTTCAAAACTAAAGGAGATACGGGGGGTGTACCATGATCCTGTTACACCCGGTATATTATTGTTAGGGTACATGAAATAAATATACCATGTTTTCGGAGTTACATTAGCTTAAACATCCAACCCAACCTTAGTTTTGCTGTTATTTTCAAATATTCGTTTCAAAATCCTAAATTTTGGTTTAAGCACTGTTTATAGATGAAATAAATCTTAGCTAACCATTAAGAAGATATTATAATGGTATTAAACATTTTCAACTTCATTTAGTTGTAATTAGATTTTTGGTCAGATATTCATAACTTCCTAACACTGTGCAATTAGAGCTTTTTCTGAATGAACGTTGGCTGAGATATGGGGTTTTAAAGAGAATGGTGAGATTTGCCAAAAAAAGCGTAAAACCAAAATAACTCGAAAAGGAAAAATGCCATGTACCAATATCTTTTATCAAAGTCAACATATTTTTTTATATACTATTAAAAAGTGTAATAAAAACTATTTAAAATAACGAAGTTATGGTCTACTTCCGGTAATTTCAAACCCCTGTGAATAGAGCAACCTGAAAAAGTTCTAAATCAGTTACATGAGACACCCTGTATTAATGTAAATGATTTTTAGGGCTTTATACATAACGATATTTAAACATTTATTGTTTGTTGGTGGTCGAGCTTGTTATCGAACAGCTTTAGAGTTTTGCAAATTATTATTATCGTTAGATCCTGATAAGGATCCGTTGGGTGTCAAATTGGCGATTGATTTTTACGCTTTACGTTCGAGAGAGTATCGGTGGTTTATCGATTTTTACGAGGAATTGGAACCAACGAAAAATTTGAGCCAATTGCCGAATTTCGCTTTTTCCGTAGCCGCCGCTCATTTTCATTTAGCCGATGGGGATTTATCTCACGCCGATGATTTATTACAAGATGCCCTGTTGATGTTTCCGGGGGTACTTAAACCACTTTTAGAAAAATGTTCAGTTCAACCTGATAATAGAGTTAGTAATCATGCATTTTTTGATTCAAAGTAAGTTAAATATAACTTTAAAAATAAAAATGCGTTTAAACATTTTTCTTTTTAGACAATCTCCCGTTTTAACTCAATTAGTATTATTATATGTGAATAGAAGTTACCATATTTGGAAAGAAAGTGATCTTCTTCCGTGGTTGGAAAGGAACGTTAATAAAGTTCTTGATCGCGTTGATAAACAAGATCCAATTGTTAAAGATTACGAAGGAAAAAGGTCTAAAAGATATCAAGGGCCAATGCCTAAAAGTATTTGTAGACATATTATTTTATCCGACATTAAAGGAGTTTCTCCATTACCAAAAGTAAAATAAATAATAAAAATTAAATTTTAATATTATTTTTATTCATACTTTTTTTTAGGATTTTACAGGTGGTGTTTTAACCTTTGATCCTTTACCACCTGATGACTCCATTAATATTTACTCAAAACCAAAAAGACCCAAAAACACAACATCAAACTCAAGTACAGTTGGGATTTTCTTCCGTTCTCTTTTACCCAGTTTCAATCCAAACGAATTGGTGGGGAATTTATTAGAGTAAAAACATATTTTTATTAATTTATAATTAATTAATGATTTATAATTATTTTTTAGAGATGAAGATGGAGCTAGGGCGCTTCCAGATGGTGAAATAGGTGATGGAGCCGAATTCGGTGACCTTAGACGTAGTGTTGCGTCATTAGTCGGTGCAATGAGGGATTTATTAAGTCACGTTCCAACTCCTGATGTTCCAAACGATGCCGACGTCGATGAAAATGATGAATCCGATGATGATGAATTAAACAATTATCTCACTTAGGATATTGTACTTTTTATGTAGATGAAGTAAAGAGAGGAATTATCGCTAAATTATAATATGACCCTGTCTATTATGCTCGAGGGAAGGCATCTTTAAGTTTTACAACATTGAAAAAAAAACTATGTACTGTTTTTAGTTTTTAAAAGTATATTAATGATTATTAAAGCGTCTACAATTTTCTATATATTAAATCTATAAGCAAAATTATTTTATTTTTCTGTAAAAAGTCGTTAACTAATAAAATATATATTAATATGTATTGGTTGGAATTTTCGTTATTTTTTAGTTGAGTTTCAAACCAAAACTGATAATTATACGTTTTGTAATTGAATAAAAGATGTCGCTAGTAAGATATTTGTTTGATTATTCTAAACTTTAAAAACAGATATTAAAGAAATTGTATCTCAAAAACTAATTGAGATATCGTTGTAAAATAAAATACAATTTAAAACAAATTTATTTGGTATTTAATACTATAAAGATCATTTCTTAGAATCTTCAAATTTCGGAGTTATGATTTTTTAAACTAAATCTTGCATAATTTTAGCATAAATGCTATGATAAATAATCTTTATGAATCTTGAAAACTAATTGAGATATCGTTATGACATAAAAAGCAATTTAAAGCTAATTTAGTTAGTATTTAATACTTTGAAGATCATTTCCTGGAATCTTAAAATTTCGGAGTTATCATTTTTTGATCGCAACCTCGCAAAATCTTACACACAAATATTAGTATAATTAATTTTAACTTATCTCATAAACTAATTGAGATATCGATATGAAATAAAAAGCAATTTAAAGCAAATTTATTTAGTATTTAATACTTTGAAGATCATTTCCTGGAATCTTCAAATTTCGGAGTTATCATTTTTTGATCGCAACCTCGCAAAATCTTACACACAAATATTAGTATAATTAATTTTAACTTATCTCATAAACTAATTGAGATATCGATATGAAATAAAAAGCAATTTAAAGCAAATTTATTTAGTATTTAATACTTTGAGGATCATTTCTTGGAATCTTCAAATTTCGGAGTTATCATTTTTTGATGGCAACCTCGTAAAATCTTACACACAAATGTTAGTGTAATTAATCTTAACGTATCTCATAAACTAATTGAGATATCGATATGAAATAAAAAGCAATTTAGAGCAAATTTATTTAGTATTTAATACTTTGAAGATCATTTCTTGGAATCTTCAAATTTCGGA